GTTGGGTGCGGGGGTCCCCTGCAAGGGAAGGGGGAGAGGACGGCATCAGGGGAGGGCGGGGCCTGTCCCAGCCCTCCCAACCACGTTCGTTTGTGTTTGGGGAAGCGGGGTCTGTCCCAGCCCTCCCAACCACGGTTCGTTTGTGTTTGGGGAAGTGGGCGATGGGGAGGTCTTTGACTCACAGCGTTGCAGGTGGATGGGCCAGATGAGGAGGCTGCACAGAGAGAGCGTGGCGGCCACGCCCACACCGCCGGTCACGGCCACCATCACCCAGTGGTAGAAGCCCAAGCAGGCTCTGCAGCAGAGCTCTAAGCTGCAGGGAGGGTGGGCGGACACAGCTGAGGGGAACCTGCCGGACCCTCGCTGGACCCTCCTACCCCCGCCTGACCTGCTCCTGCCCTCAGCTGAGGGCAGCTCGTCCTGCCCTTCCTCCAGGGCACTCAGGCCAGACGCTGGGCTCACCCTCCACTGCCTCCCTCCCCTCCCACGTCCAGCCCCTTGGCCACACTGTCAGGTCTACCTGCAAAGTCTGTCCCCAATGCACCTGCTGTCCCCCCTCTGCTGCCTCCACCTGGGCCAGCCCCACCATCACCCACCCGGACCAGCCCAATCCCCTCTGCCCTGGTCCCCAGCTCCCACCCTCACCCCCCAAGCCTGTCTTCCCCACAGCAGCCACCAAGGGGTGGCTGTGAGCACCAAGTGGGGTCTCCTCCCCGCTCCGCCCACAGCCCTCCATGGCTCCCGCCTTCCTCAGAGTAAAAGCCCAAGACCTCCCCGCAGCCCACAAGGCCCTGCACGACCTGCCCATCCCCTCTCTGTTTCCACCTCCTCCCTCTCTCCTTTGCTCACTCTCCTCCAGCCACATGGATCTCCTGCTGTTTTTCCAATATGCCTCAGGGCCTTTGCACTGGCTGCCCCTTCCCACTNCATCCTGGCCACGCGGTGCAAAGGGGTGAAAACGCACATTCCAGGGATGGGCAAGCTGAGGATGGGGAGGCATGGGGGACAGCCACGGGCTCAGCCTCTGCCCGCCACCCCTGCCTCCCCGGTCCTCAGCGATGACTACCTGTCCCTGGAAGGGCCCCGCTGGGCACCGGCCATCAAGCAGGCGACACGCTGGAAGTACATGCCCACAGGATGTGACGCTTCCGGCCAGCTGTGGTACACAGGCCTGACCAACTCGGACCCCCGGGAAGCCTGGTACAACCTGCCCCACTGGGTGTGGACTGGAGCGTGAGAGCAGTGATTGATTAGCAATGTCTGCCCTGGGTGTGGACTGGAGCGTGAGAGCAGTGATTGATTAGCAATGTCTGCCCTGGGTGTGGACTGGAGCGTGAGAGCAGTGATTGATTAGCAATGTCTGCCCTGGGTGTGGACTGGAGCGTGAGAGCAGTGATTGATTAGCAATGTCTGCCCTGGGTGTGGACTGGAGCGTGAGAGCAGTGATTGATTAGCAATGTCTGCCCTGGGTGTGGACTGGAGCGTGAGAGCAGTGATTGATTAGCAATGTCTGCCCTGGGTGTGGACTGGAGCGTGAGAGCAGTGATTGATTAGCAATGTCTGCCCTGGGTGTGGACTGGAGCGTGAGAGCAGTGATTGATTAGCAATGTCTGCCCTGGGTGTGGACTGGAGCGTGAGAGCAGTGATTGATTAGCAATGTCTGCCCTGGGTGTGGACTGGAGCGTGAGAGCAGTGATTGATTAGCAATGTCTGCCCTGGGTGTGGACTGGAGCGTGAGAGCAGTGATTGATTAGCAATGTCTGCCCTGGGTGTGGACTGGAGCGTGAGAGCAGTGATTGATTAGCAATGTCTGCCCTGGGTGTGGACTGGAGCGTGAGAGCAGTGATTGATTAGCAATGTCTGCCCTGGGTGTGGACTGGAGCGTGAGAGCAGTGATTGATTAGCAATGTCTGCCCTGGGTGTGGACTGGAGCGTGAGAGCAGTGATTGATTAGCAATGTCTGCCCTGGGTGTGGACTGGAGCGTGAGAGCAGTGATTGATTAGCAATGTCTGCCCTGGGTGTGGACTGGAGCGTGAGAGCAGTGATTGATTAGCAATGTCTGCCCTGGGTGTGGACTGGAGCGTGAGAGCAGTGATTGATTAGCAATGTCTGCCCTGGGTGTGGACTGGAGCGTGAGAGCAGTGATTGATTAGCAATGTCTGCCCTGGGTGTGGACTGGAGCGTGAGAGCAGTGATTGATTAGCAATGTCTGCCCTGGGTGTGGACTGGAGCGTGAGAGCAGTGATTGATTAGCAATGTCTGCCCTGGGTGTGGACTGGAGCGTGAGAGCAGTGATTGATTAGCAATGTCTGCCCTGGGTGTGGACTGGAGCGTGAGAGCAGTGATTGATTAGCAATGTCTGCCCTGGGTGTGGACTGGAGCGTGAGAGCAGTGATTGATTAGCAATGTCTGCCCTGGGTGTGGACTGGAGCGTGAGAGCAGTGATTGATTAGCAATGTCTGCCCTGGGTGTGGACTGGAGCGTGAGAGCAGTGATTGATTAGCAATGTCTGCCCTGGGTGTGGACTGGAGCGTGAGAGCAGTGATTGATTAGCAATGTCTGCCCTGGGTGTGGACTGGAGCGTGAGAGCAGTGATTGATTAGCAATGTCTGCCCTGGGTGTGGACTGGAGCGTGAGAGCAGTGATTGATTAGCAATGTCTGCCCTGGGTGTGGACTGGAGCGTGAGAGCAGTGATTGATTAGCAATGTCTGCCCTGGGTGTGGACTGGAGCGTGAGAGCAGTGATTGATTAGCAATGTCTGCCCTGGGTGTGGACTGGAGCGTGAGAGCAGTGATTGATTAGCAATGTCTGCCCTGGGTGTGGACTGGAGCGTGAGAGCAGTGATTGATTAGCAATGTCTGCCCTGGGTGTGGACTGGAGCGTGAGAGCAGTGATTGATTAGCAATGTCTGCCCTGGGTGTGGACTGGAGCGTGAGAGCAGTGATTGATTAGCAATGTCTGCCCTGGGTGTGGACTGGAGCGTGAGAGCAGTGATTGATTAGCAATGTCTGCCCTGGGTGTGGACTGGAGCGTGAGAGCAGTGATTGATTAGCAATGTCTGCCCTGGGTGTGGACTGGAGCGTGAGAGCAGTGATTGATTAGCAATGTCTGCCCTGGGTGTGGACTGGAGCGTGAGAGCAGTGATTGATTAGCAATGTCTGCCCTGGGTGTGGACTGGAGCGTGAGAGCAGTGATTGATTAGCAATGTCTGCCCTGGGTGTGGACTGGAGCGTGAGAGCAGTGATTGATTAGCAATGTCTGCCCTGGGTGTGGACTGGAGCGTGAGAGCAGTGATTGATTAGCAATGTCTGCCCTGGGTGTGGACTGGAGCGTGAGAGCAGTGATTGATTAGCAATGTCTGCCCTGGGTGTGGACTGGAGCGTGAGAGCAGTGATTGATTAGCAATGTCTGCCCTGGGTGTGGACTGGAGCGTGAGAGCAGTGATTGATTAGCAATGTCTGCCCTGGGTGTGGACTGGAGCGTGAGAGCAGTGATTGATTAGCAATGTCTGCCCTGGGTGTGGACTGGAGCGTGAGAGCAGTGATTGATTAGCAATGTCTGCCCTGGGTGTGGACTGGAGCGTGAGAGCAGTGATTGATTAGCAATGTCTGCCCTGGGTGTGGACTGGAGCGTGAGAGCAGTGATTGATTAGCAATGTCTGCCCTGGGTGTGGACTGGAGCGTGAGAGCAGTGATTGATTAGCAATGTCTGCCCTGGGTGTGGACTGGAGCGTGAGAGCAGTGATTGATTAGCAATGTCTGCCCTGGGTGTGGACTGGAGCGTGAGAGCAGTGATTGATTAGCAATGTCTGCCCTGGGTGTGGACTGGAGCGTGAGAGCAGTGATTGATTAGCAATGTCTGCCCTGGGTGTGGACTGGAGCGTGAGAGCAGTGATTGATTAGCAATGTCTGCCCTGGGTGTGGACTGGAGCGTGAGAGCAGTGATTGATTAGCAATGTCTGCCCTGGGTGTGGACTGGAGCGTGAGAGCAGTGATTGATTAGCAATGTCTGCCCTGGGTGTGGACTGGAGCGTGAGAGCAGTGATTGATTAGCAATGTCTGCCCTGGGTGTGGACTGGAGCGTGAGAGCAGTGATTGATTAGCAATGTCTGCCCTGGGTGTGGACTGGAGCGTGAGAGCAGTGATTGATTAGCAATGTCTGCCCTGGGTGTGGACTGGAGCGTGAGAGCAGTGATTGATTAGCAATGTCTGCCCTGGGTGTGGACTGGAGCGTGAGAGCAGTGATTGATTAGCAATGTCTGCCCTGGGTGTGGACTGGAGCGTGAGAGCAGTGATTGATTAGCAATGTCTGCCCTGGGTGTGGACTGGAGCGTGAGAGCAGTGATTGATTAGCAATGTCTGCCCTGGGTGTGGACTGGAGCGTGAGAGCAGTGATTGATTAGCAATGTCTGCCCTGGGTGTGGACTGGAGCGTGAGAGCAGTGATTGATTAGCAATGTCTGCCCTGGGTGTGGACTGGAGCGTGAGAGCAGTGATTGATTAGCAATGTCTGCCCTGGGTGTGGACTGGAGCGTGAGAGCAGTGATTGATTAGCAATGTCTGCCCTGGGTGTGGACTGGAGCGTGAGAGCAGTGATTGATTAGCAATGTCTGCCCTGGGTGTGGACTGGAGCGTGAGAGCAGTGATTGATTAGCAATGTCTGCCCTGGGTGTGGACTGGAGCGTGAGAGCAGTGATTGATTAGCAATGTCTGCCCTGGGTGTGGACTGGAGCGTGAGAGCAGTGATTGATTAGCAATGTCTGCCCTGGGTGTGGACTGGAGCGTGAGAGCAGTGATTGATTAGCAATGTCTGCCCTGGGTGTGGACTGGAGCGTGAGAGCAGTGATTGATTAGCAATGTCTGCCCTGGGTGTGGACTGGAGCGTGAGAGCAGTGATTGATTAGCAATGTCTGCCCTGGGTGTGGACTGGAGCGTGAGAGCAGTGATTGATTAGCAATGTCTGCCCTGGGTGTGGACTGGAGCGTGAGAGCAGTGATTGATTGGTGTTGCTGCCCTGGACGTGAGGACAGAAGTGGTCACATTTGTGCTGCACTTGCCATCTCTGCTGGCTCTGTGGAAGATGCAGCCCTGCAGAGTGAAGGGCCTGGTGGGAGAGGGCTGTCACCTCCAGCCCTCTGGCCCCCATGACGTACCTGATAAAAAGCCGGCTCCCGAAGCCAGTGTTTCCAGAGCAGCAAGGGCTGGGCGGCCATGGGGGCCAGCAGGGGGCTGTGTTCATCTGGCTCCTCCACCCGTGGCCGGCGCCTCTCCCTGGTGCCCAGGTGGAACAATAGCGAGAAGACGGCTCCGATGCCCACCACCAACAGGGAGAGATTCTGGGGACCCAGCAGGAGGCGGGGTCAGCAGCTGCTCTCAGGGACCCACCCCAGGCTCAGGGACTTTGGGGTGGCCCACCTTGGCCCCAGCTCACCCGGAACACCGACACATCTTGGACCCCCAGCTGGTCACTGACACTGAGGTCCTGGGCAGGCCCCATGCGTGAGGAGCCCTGCAGGTGGAGTAGGAGCCAGGCGGCACCATAGACGGTGATGTTGGCCACTACAGTGAAGGCGTACCTGCCGAGAGTGGGACAGGGCCTCAGCAGGTCACCCCCGTAGACCGTGTGGCTACCTCCTCCCCTCTCCAGGTGGCAGCATGGGTCAGAGCCACTTACGGCATATGGTTGATGGGTGATTTCATTCACCAACTCATTGGGTGGCCCCAGGGGAGCCCCTGATGGCCTCAATTTCCCCAGCCTGCACTTTATCTGACCATGTACAACGCTGACCTGCAAGTCCACCATGTGGGAACCCCTAGGACCCAGATGGAGAGACTCCACATAGCAGGACTGAGTTCAGATTGCCACCCAAAAGTCTGAAAGCCCAGGAAGCTTGGACACCAGGAATTCTAGAATTCTTGGTTCCCAGATCCTGGGTTTCTATAGGGCGAGGACTCCATGGTCTAGAATCATCTGGGCCTGCTCTTCCCTGCAGCCCTGCTTGGCCAAGGGTGTAGGGGGAGCCTTTGGAACTCATCAGGGCTCAGTTTCCACTTCTGAAAGCGATGACAATGCTCCCTCCGGAGGCCAAGTGAAGGTGACAGGAGGTCATCTGGCAAATGGTCACACATAGAAAGTGCCCCAGAGTTTGCTGGGGCCCTCAGGGGCCCTGACGTTGGGCAAGCCCTGTCATTAGCACCCACATCTCCCTCTCAGGGCCATAGTGGGAAACTCAGAGGTAGGAGTGGGGAGGAGGCCAAGGTGGCCAGAACTGGGGACAAGTGAGCTGATTTGGAGACAGAATGGGGCCCTTGATGAAGATGCTATTCAAACCCTGGCTTTGGGCGCATGACAACCTCCTGCCCATTTCCTCCTCTGGAATATGGAGGTGTTGACATTCCCAGCCTCCTGGGCTCGTTGTGAGGATTAAGGAATGTGTGTCAAGGACCTAGAATTATGCCTGGCACACAGAAGTGCTCAATAGATGCTCTCGTTATCATCACGTCTATTTAGTTTTTTGTTTTTGTTTTTCGTTTTGGTGACTGGGCAGTGGGGAGATCTGAACCTGTGACCATGGTACCTCCCAAGGGAGCCAACTGGTCAGCCTGTATTGTCATATCCAGAGTAACCTCCTCTCGTGCCTAAGCAAGTTGACAGATAAGCCAGGCACCGACCGTCCGCATGTGTAGCAGGCAGAGTTCTGGGATGGGCCCAGAGAGTCCCTCCCTGTCCAATCCCTTCCCCTGCGGGGCGGGACCTGTAAGTCTACGGTGGACGTCACTCGCAGGTTTAGGTAATATGCCATGGCAGAGATAAAGAAATTGTGCAGATGTAACTAAGGTCCTTGGTCAGTCTGGGTTCATTAAAAGTGAGATTATTCTGGGTGAGCCTGACCTAGTCAGGTGATCCTTTAAAAGAGGGCTGAGGGCTTCCAGGAGGTCAGAGATTCCCCCATTGGCCTCAAAGAAGAAGCAAACCACCATGAGTTCTCCAGGTGCAAGGAAACAAACTATGCCACCAACTCCATGAGCACAGAAGAGGGACCCCAAGCCTCAGATGAGATCCCTGCCCTGGCCAACACCTTGACTGCGGCCTCAACACAGACCCTGAAGATTCCTGATCCACAGAAACTGCGAGATGATAGAGGTACGTCGCTTTAAGCTGCTAACTTTGTGGTGACCTGTTACACAGCAGTAGCTGAAACACCATGTTACATTTATACCAGCTGTGGCTGACAGCCCCACCAGAGAGGGTGGCTGGGTGTTCCTGGCCTTTCCTGTCTGCCAAGGGAGTACCTGAGTGCCGTAAGCTCCACCTTCTCGTGGTCATTGGTGACCAGCTCCGGGATGAGACTGAGGTGGGAAATCTGCGTCGCAGCCCAGCCGAACTGGAATATCACGATGAAGGGCCCATAGTACAGGAGGGCGGCCCACTCGGGGGTGGCCGCCCCGCAGCCCAGGCACGGGCTGAAGATGAATGGGAAGGACAGAAGGACGCAGACCGTGCCTGTGGACAGGCAGAGGTGGGAAGGTCACATCACGGGGCCTGCCCATGCCAGCCCAGGGCTCCCCAGGGTGTGATGGGGTGGAGATGAAACCGAGACAGAAAGGGCTGGGGACACAGTTGGGTGAGAAAAGAGCACAGAGAAACTGAGGCACAGAAAGCACTGGAGAGCTCCCCCGCTGAGTCACACCAACCACCAAGACCCATTGTGTGCCAGATCCCTCCTTCCATGTGCTTAGAAAAAACCCAATACCTTGGAATGAATGAAAAATCCTCCCCGTGGCACCAAGCCCTACATGACCTGCCCTGTCCCCTCCCATCCTCCCCTCCTGCCTCTCTCCCCCTCGCTCTCTCTGCTGCAGCCACACGGGCCTCCTTGCTGTTCCCCCCATACGTCAGGCTCGGTCCTGCCCCAGGGCCT